GCTGATTCGCAATGTTTGTCATCACTTCATGATGTCTACCGATTCGTGAAAAAGGCCTATTCAAAAAACAACTATAGGTCTAATAATGAATTATTGTGATGTTAAATAGACAATGTTAGCTATCAAAGAGCGACGTTGTTTTTCATTGGGACCTTCGTCCCTTCAAGGGTAGGCCTATACCATCCTAGCTAGTCTAGGCCTAGAGTAGGATAAGGCTAGCGCGACATGTGGACGTTGGTATGAGTAGGTTAGTCTACAAACGTCGCCTAAAGTAATTGATTTTACCCGGCAGAACGAAAGAAAGAAACTCTGCTTTTCAGTCGTCTTAGGCACTCGTTTTTTGACAAACAATGACCTTTCAGAGGTCAAATTGCTGTCAAGAATATGAATTGGCTGCTTCGCAGCAATAAGTAGTAAGACACCAATTAATAATAGTAAGACACTATGGTAAGTGAGGCAACTAAATTAATAGGATAACAATCTTACCTTGGTCTTAGGTAACTCAGCTTGATTTTGAGGCAATTTTCTTCTATAGCCAACTTCGCACTTCAAAAGGTAGTGACGAACCCATGTTAGAGGCAGTTCCCATGTAATGTTCAATCGAGTTCCATCTAATGCTTCTCCGTTTAAATTGTTGGGTGGATAGGGTTGAACTATAAAAAAACACAAAATAAAATGATGAAATCCTTTAGAAAATACATCAGATCGAAGAAATGGATATAAATACACCAGAAACCCCCCCCCCACCCTGCTTAGGGCATGACTATTAAGGGGACACACTAATTAAGGGGACACTTTTTCATGTAAATTACAATAAAATCTATGAAGCATTGCATGACAACATGCCAAAACCCCAATTAAGGGGACAATTTCATATACTGTATTTGGGTAGTGTCCCCTAATTAGGGGTATAGTACCTCTATTCAGGGGACACTTTTTCGTCCTAAAGGTGTTTCCTTAATAAGGTTTCTACTGTAATTACATATTTTATGACCCTTCATTTTTAAGAAAACTCCTTTAAAATCACCTTGAATCATGAAAAAATTATGGTCGTTGATCTTTTGGATGGCCGCTTACAACAATGTATCTACATGCATGTCCCGTAGTAAAATTGATATTTGGGGTTTGTTTTTAAATATAATAATAAGACAATCACTATAGCAAAACATATTACATATATACTACATAGCATCATATTAGGCATCTCAATTATTCAAGTGGTGAGGCCAGGGCACTGGTTTGCGACCCTCTTTTGCTTGGTATAATTAATGGTATAAGGTATTTCTAAATAGGCTTAAATCATACCTTTTTAGTAATCAGATGTAGATATACTTTTAACTTTTCGATATTTTATAAATTTTAATCGAAATTTCATTGTAAATTTGTTTTTGGGTGTTTTGTTGGTACTTCTGGCTCACTGAGTCATAGATGCAATTAAATCTTTAGAAGTCCTAGGCCTTCGTGTCAAAGTATATAAATAAAATGAAATTAAATGGATTTATTCGGTGTTAACACCAAGGATAACCCACGAAAGTCTGGAGAGGACTTATTTCCAGTGGGGTCCTTCTGGTGGTGCTTGAGCAGTACACCGGGGACAGTCCCCTACTCGTTTCTGAAGAGTGTACTACGTTCTTCAGCTCCTGTCGATGTGGAAGTATGCGACTACTAAGTGCCTCCCCGAAGCAGCTGTGAAACACTGGTATACAATTCACAATGATTCTTCAGTTCCAGGTTAATTGCCTACATTTGCCTAAATATATTCCTAATGTATTGAGTTTTCTACATTTTATTTTATTAAAAATTTGCCTTTCAAATTACAGCATCTAAATTGAGTGGCCCATTAATATTAAGGTGACTTACCTTGAAGGTGTGGATTGAAATAAATCCTTGAAGTTGTATTATCTAACACATTTGACGTTTTAACTTGTACCTCATACATAAATGAATTGTATAAAGGATCATTGTCCATTGATATAATACACCTGTTTCCATCACTGTCGCTTCTCAGGTCTATGCAGTCTTGCCAAGCACCTCTGGCACAATAAAAAGTAAAAGATTTCATTAGTTAGCTTCAGACTATAGTGTTCTATTTGTATATATATGATCTACCTTGAACTACCAAGTTGTAACACCCTACTCTGTACATATGCAGTGGCGTTATGTATCTGAAGGTTATTGATGCTGGGGCTTAGCTAATGGGGGCATGATGGTTAAGTCGGGGAGGGGCTTAAAAAGTGTTACTGTAGGGCTTAAGCTGGCAAAATAAAATGACATGACTACTTCAGCGTATTTTTTTAGCTAAGCAAACTTCTAGTGAGGATGCCAGGGAGTTGGGGGAGGGGGGATTATTTGGGTGTGCACCCCAACCTCTGCAGATATCAGATATGCGACTGTATATGGTATTCAAATTCAGAAGAATTCAGGGGAGAATTGAGGGGATAGGCCAATGAATGTTGTCAGTAATCTAGTGTCATAGTGTCCACTTAATGAATAAAGCATAGTATCCACTTGGTAAATAAAGCAATACAAATTTCAAAATGCACAAAAAATTTTAAGATGTACTGTCTGATAACAACAAAATGTGATAAACCTCAAAAATTCAATCAAAAGTTTGAATATCTCATCTAAGAGAATCAACTAAAATTTATGTATGTGTACTTAATTTGATTATGGGTGTGTCCAGAATGTGTACAGTAAGTACTCTAGATATTTACACATACTATGTAACTTTAAATGTTACCTTTCAAAAAGAGACATGTTTGACGAAAACCTTGGTACGTTATTTTTTTTTTAGCTTATAACACACTAACAGCACATCTCAAGCAAAAAGACCCATTACATTAACAAATGATTAGATTATTTTGACCACCCATTAAGACATAGTCAATAGCATTATGCGAGTCACATGGCAGTGTGTTAAGGCAGGAGTGCCGCTAGCTACAACCTTAACATCGGCGCTGGTTTCAGCTGCTCCTCGCCCATGGTTCGATTGGTAGAACTATGTCTTCTCGGATAAGGACTTAAAATCTTTTGGAAGAGTAGGAGGTTACCCCAATGTTATGGTTCATTTCAGCTCCTATCGTTGTATGATGAAACATGTAGCTACCATGACGCGCCTCTTTACGGCTGCTAGGTAGTCACAGACCACGCCCATATGCAATTCAACACTATGACGCTACAAGTTATGGGATATTCTCTGACTTATTCCTTTACCTTTACCTATTAAATTGTCCTGAAAGCTGAAACATATTTGGACAAATGTTGTACAAAGATCCAAAGCTACATTACAGTTACTTCCTGTGATTGTCTGATGAAAACAAAATGGTTTTAGTATAAAAAATGTTAACTATAAACCACTTTCCATCATCCTAAAGTAATACTATGAAAACTTTGGTTATGGGTCCATAACAAAACAATCGATAATTATTTACGAAATTAGACTTACCCTAAAGGTTTATAATGGAAAGATGAAGAAGTAATTAGTACATGGTCCTCCCTTACTACCTCCCAATAGCACCAGAAAGAGATTATATTTCTACTGTGGCACGCAAAATTCTTCGCTTTTTGTGCTTTATCTGAAAGCGAAAAAAAAAAATTGATAAACTTATAGGTTTAAATGTTTACATTCTCATATAAAAGATGATGATGGATGGTGATAATGGATGATGATGACGATAAAAATGACGAATGATGATTGATGATGGTGATGGATGATGATTATGGATGATGGATGGTGATAATTGGATGAAGATGATAGATGATGATGCTGGATGATGATTATGGATGATTATAATGGATGATGGTTATGGATGATGGATGATGATGCTAATGGATGATAATGATGGATGGATGATGGTGAATGATGATGATAATGGATGATAATGATGGATGATGGTGGATGATGATGATAATGGATGACGGTGATAGATGATGATGGATGATGATAATGGATGATAATGATGGATGATGGTGGATGATGACAATGAATGATAATGATGGATGATGATGATGGATGGATGATAATGATGGATGATGGTGGATGATGACAATGAATGATAATGATGGATGATGATGATGGATGATGGTGGATGATGACAATGAATGATAATGATGGATGATGATGATGGATGGATGATGATAATGATGATGGATGATGATGATGGATGATTATGGATGATGGATGATGATAATGGATGATAATAATGGATGATAATGATGGATGATGGTGGATGATGATGATAATGGATGATAATTATGGATGATGGTAGATAATGTTGATAATGGATGATGATGATGATGGATGATGATAATGATGGATGATAATGATGGATGATAATGATGGATGATGGTGAATGATGATGATAATGGATGATAATGATGGATGATGATTATGGATGATTGATTATGATAATGTATGATAATGATGGATGATGTGGATGATGATGATAATGGATGATGATTAATGTTGGTGGATGATGACAATAATGGATGATGATGATGATGGAGGATGATGATACTGGATGATGATGAAGATGGTGGATGATGATGATAATGGGTGATAATGACGAATGATAATGATGGATGATGATTATGGATGATGATGATGGATGGTGACGATTGGATAAAGATGATGATGTTGCTGATGGATGATGATGATAGATCATGTTGAAGATGATGAAGAAGATAATGGATGATGATTGAATGATAATGATGATGGTGAATGATAAATGATAATGATGATTATAAAGAGAACTTCTTAGCTAGGCTACATACATCCAGTGTGGACAACAGTTGCTTCATAGTGTGCTAGATCATCTGAAAATGCACAATAGTAAGTTGAATCACCAAGTGGCGGCTCCGTATTAAGTACCAAGACGCTGTTGTTTGCTGTAGTGCCTGGCAAGTGTGTACGCATGGTTTCATTTATAGCATACCATACCAGCTCATTTGCAGTTCGTGTGTGTGAGTCCACATGACAATACATTTTTACACTTGTGCCATTCACAACGTAAATATCTTTAGGTGTAATAGCTAAAAAAAAAGAAGAAGAAAAATGTATAGTAAGTTTCTGTCTCTTACAAATTTTGAACGCAAACCATCATTGCAGGGTCTGACCTAAGACATTATGTTGGGTCAGACACAGCATTGTATACCACTTTAAAAACTAACAATTTGTCATTGAATGGAAAAATACACATCCCAAAATTCAATCGCATCTTTTTTTAGGTCATGTACAACTTCACTGAATTTTATGATAATCATTCATTAGTTTTTACACACTCCTGCTGGCAAACACAGACAGTTTTAGAGAAGCAGATTGATGAAAGAAAAACCTCCTTGGTGGATGCATTTATACATTGTCTACAGTTTTATATGTAATTTAAATTGTTTACTTTAATAATAATTTCGCACAACGCAATTTCATGAAAGTAAATCAATACCGCTCTACACTAATGTAAACACACAAATAGTGAAATACTTCCGGTCGAGACTGAATATAGTGTACATGTCGTTAATTACCCCCATAGGCTTAGCCAGCAAGACGTCCGGCCATCTTTTGGACGGCCAACAATTATTTAAGACGGCTACTTTTACTGTGACGGCTTGGACAGCTTGGCCTAATCAGCTCGGCCTAGCCTAATTGGGCCTGGTCTACCTTTAGCAAATTCTTTATATTCTTCAAATCTATTGTTACATTAAACTAAATCCAAATTATATTTATGTTTGATAAAAACAACCTTAATTGAATGAATGTACATTGTTTTCATATCAATATTTGGTAGGGATTCCCAATAGTGTGAGACTTATAACCATTGCCTACCCGGTGAAAAGTTCACTACAACACGTGTCGTGTTAAAAACATTTATACCCCGCTGGAAAATGGACAATTCTGACTCACTCACAACGCCAGCAAATACAATACAGTACTTGAGATTCAGTTCCTCGACATAATATTGTTGTGTTTGTAACTCTCAGGTTATAATTAATTCATGAAATACTGTAAAGAAGATTTGTTGTTAATGTCACAAGTTAAATTTTATTAGTCAACAAAATACAGTAGGTCTAGGCCTACCTCTTCATTCGAAGGACCTAGCCCTAGAGTAGAATTTACACTAGACTACCGGGCGATAGATGAAGATGCCTAGAAAATTTATGTGAGTAACCATAGCCATGCGCAATCTATGTCTTAAACTGAAATATTTTTGTGAAAGCTAATTCAACACTAATCCTTTGAACACAAAATTCCAACATTTAAACACCTTTAAATGTCCTCTGAAGATCATAATTTTCTATTTTTTCTTATGTTTGGGAGAGGGCGTGGTCCCCAGTGTGTATAGCCCGCCCATCGGCTGAGGGCCACGCTTACTGGCTTCCATTTTGGACGGCCTATTTCATTTTTCTGGCTAAACCCCTGATTACCCCATCTTTCGGATTCTGTAAAAAAAAAAATAAAACACAGAGATCTCGGTGTTTGGCAGTCAAGCGTTGCGTTACCAAACACAGAGATCTTGGTGTTCGGCAGTCAAGCGTTGCGTTACCAAACACAGAGATCTCGGTGTTTGGCAGTCAAGCGTTGCGTTAACAAACACAGAGATCTCGGTGTTTGGCAGTCAGGCGTTGCGTTACCAAACACAGAGATCTCGGTGTTTGGCAGTCAAGCGTTGCGTTACCAAACACAGAGATCTCGGTGTTTGGCAGTCAAGCGTTGCGTTACCAAACACAGAGATCTCGGTGTTTGGCATTCAAGCATTGCGTTACCAAACACAGAGATCTCGGTGTTTGGCAGTCAAGCGTTGCGTTACCAAACACAGATCTCCGTGTTTGGCAGTCAAGCGTTGCGTTACCAAACACTGAGATCTCCGTGTTTGGCAGTCAAGCGTTGCGTTATCAAACACCGAGATCTCCGTGTTTGGCGGGCAGAGTGTTAAGTTGCAGATTCATAAATAATACATATTTATTCTATACCCTAAACATGGCTGGTAATCAATAAAGATTTAAAAAAATAAAATGTCTGTACCTGAATAACATTTACTAACTAAATCTTTGTCCTTTTCACATCTGGAAGTGGTACCACTTCATGAAATGTCAATTAAAAAAAATATATATTACTTCTGCATCACTTAGCATTCACCTTCAACCTTCAATATCTCCAATTCTAAACTGAATGTTATGTTGAATGGGCATCACCAGGATGCAAACATTAAACTTGTGAACTCTGGCTTGAACAAAATGACAGGTAGGATTGCTCATGTCTCAAGACTTCTGGCTTTTTGAACTTTAAATTGTTCCATGAAATAAATTCAATTTGGGAAATTTAATACCAATCTGTTTATGCCTAACACAGACTGGTTGTATCCATGTAAAATTAAGAAAATGCAGAGTGAGTGAAGCTAATATTTATGGAGAGTGTAATACCCTATTTAGACTAGCATCCATCCATTGCATCGGTTGCAGGTTACAACACCCAATCGCACCCATTTGCAATTCACAATCGTGTGTGACAGCTCACACACCAATACAAATCGATATCGCAATTGTTACCCGTTGCGATTGGGTCACAAAAGAGCTATAAGATCTATTTCTAAAGCAAAATGGCTTGCTCACACAGCTCCTTTATTTTTTGAACATGATGTACTGGCTATGAGAGTTATATAATTTTAATGTTGGGCTACTCATGCATAGAGTTAAGTCAGGGGAAATTCCAGAGTATTTTAAAACTTTTTTCTATAAACAAAGATGTTTATTCATATTTTACGTGTCAGTCGTCATCTTTTCATATACCAAAAGTTATACTTAAATCTAGGCTTACTATCTAGGCTTACTAGAATTATATTTTACGGAACAAAATACTGGCTGAATCTACCTCCCTGTTTTAAAGATCAAAAGTCACTTTCTACAATCAAGGCTCAACGGTCAATTTTGTCCTTATTATTACTTTTTTTTTGTGCATTACTTTATAAGTTAGTTAGCGGACCAGCTCACAGGCATTGCCTTCTTGGTTTTGGCATTTGTACCCTACAGTAGGTGTATTGAATAAAGTAATTGTATTGTATTGTACGAATCACAACAAATGCCACAGGCACCGATTGGCTGAGTCAGTCAACATAGGCCTGGTGCCGGAGGCCAAGGCTTAAATAGTACCGTTTGACCTCTCGTTCCAATATAAAGTGTGATTTGGTCTGAAAGCGCTTGTTGATTGCGATCGGGAGTAATCAGTTTTGGATTACCACCGATTACATCACAACTGATCGCAACAGAGTGTAGTCAGAATAAGGTATAAGAATCCATACTGTATGTATTAACCAGGGTGCTTGCAAATACTCAAGGACTGTACCATTCTCACCCAGGGTACCTCCAAGGGTGATTCTTCATACCAAATAGAATATCCATTCACCCTCAAACATTTGTCGACTCAGAGTTATTTTTATTGTTTCAGAAGTTTTTCAGGATTCAGTAAAAGGTGGTATAGACCCCTGGTTCACAACCTTTTTTTTTTTTTTTTTCGAAAGGGTCCCTCAGTCCTAGCATGGTTGGGGCTGGGATGAGTAAATTTAAGGATATTACAATGACAATCGCAAACTTCAAAAATGATCTACATTGTGTGTAAATTTTAACTGTTTTAAGTACTGTAAACACCAAAATCATGTGATAGATCCTTTTGTTTATGCTTTTGAGCTTTCATGCAGTACTTCAGTACATTTTCTATGCAGCCCTAATAACAATTTTAATAATGCAAAATATCTGTCAAATTTCCAATTTTATATTTGTGAATCTATAACAGCATTTCACTCTTATTCCCATCAGCCTGAACTTCAAAAATACAATTAATTCTCAGGTACAAATTATTTTTATAAACTAACAATACTAATAATGATAATAATTATTATTATTATATAAATATAAGTTTTTTTCCCACTTATTACGTAAAAAAGAGAAATCTTAAATCCTAAAGTATGTTTACTCAAGTAAATTTATATTAATAATAGCCAACATTATTGAATAATATAAAATAAATTATATCAATGACATTGAGTGTTGAAGTGTGCAGTGGAAATTAAATCGGCATAGTTTTCAAAGGAATACACTGTCGGTTTCATTTCGATTAATTATCGGCCTTCCTAAGTAAACATCCAATAATAGCATGGTATTCAAAAGAAAACTCTTCTGCAAAGCAAGAAGGTATATTCCTCAGGTCAGCATAATATTTGAAAAGGTCAAAATGACAAAATTTGAATAATCAATTTGCTGATTGACATCAACAGCACTAATGGTCCATTACTACAATAATGACTTTTTTAACATGTTCAAATTGATAGCTTATTCCAGGGAACAGTTGAATTACTGTTAATTTAACTGTTCCCTGGTTTATACACATAATGCATGGTTACAATAGGTTCAATACAAATAACATGTAAATTTGTTAGAAAATTGTAAATGTCAATCTATCTTTTGAACATATGTTCATTCATTTCCACATTTGTATATACTTCAAATTTATATCATTAAAACTTCTAATTGAAACCCAGTATTCTACTTACTGTATGACCCCCATACTTTAATACTACCTACGTTTAAAATTAATCTCCATAAATGATGACCAATTACTGTGTCTGTAGTCCAATAATAACTAAGTGGGGTTACTACTGTACTATATTGGAATACCAAGTTCTAGAAGAAGAATTTCCAGACCCATTGATGCCACCAATTAAATGGTGATGATTTCTAACGATGATGATAGGATCATTAAAGATATCTACAATGGCTCAGTCAAAATGAGAAAGTATTGAGTTAAAAAAAAAAAACATGTTTTATGTCCAAGTTTCGCATGAAAACTATTTTCTACAACATTCCAAAGTTTCCATAGCTTCCAATATTGGTCAGTTATTTGGCAATATTTTTACTATTGGGAGTGATGAAAATTTACGTCACAATTTCATAATGAATAGCAGACAACACTTTAGGAGAGTTTCCATGAAAACCTGAGCACTGCCAATAAGGAAAATAATTTTATCCCATGTCCAGAAATTCTA